TTAACATGAAAGGAATCATCAAATCTAGCATTGATTGGCATCCGGTCGGAATATTAACGAGCATTCAGAGAATAGGACGAACAAATTGATAGAAAATATATTTTCTTATCTACGAAATGAACGTATTTGTACCACAGAGAAGCTGAAATGTATGAATCCCAAGATCTATCTGATAAAAATTTGTCTGTACGGTTACTAATAATAAATTAAAAATATGATATGGAAAACAAGATACTGAGCCTCTAGTTTTGTCGCAATATTCTTAAGAAGTGGTCTGCTCTCGTCTTTGTAACTTGACTGAAGGCCTCTGCTATAGTAGTTATCATAATTACCAGTGCTGGACCATGGACCTGGTACATACCCGGGTGTTTCGCCAGCCTCGTCATTAAGTCATACCAGTCCCAATACCAAGCTGCAACTCACAAAAGTGACAAAAAAAGTCAATCCCTTAACCGAATCTCTGGCGAAATGATTGTGCTATCAGACTTCGTTCTATCCTGACCCATCGATTTACTCCCTACTTATCACAGACCCGCCCCATCAAATAAGCTCGGAATCGTTAAACCTTTAGGCTTATTAAGAAAGGAATTGTGAAAATAAATACTCACCTTTTTTACGTATGAAGCGGCATCTTCCTCTGTGTAAACCTCACCACTAACTGCCCCTCTTCTAACACGCCTTTTAGGAGGAGCAATCGTAGACGGACCACAACTGATGCCTGCACTACTGGCACCTCCCAAAGAGCGCGAATCATCTTCCTCATCAGTCTTAGCACTGCTAATCAAACCTGAATTGGTCCCATTAGTTGTTCCATTTGTAACCGGCTGCAAATCAGAGGGCAGATTTGGGCTGAATTTTGACATATCTTCGTCGAAAGGATCTGAAGCTAAATTACACGTATTTGATCCATGAGCATGCAGAGGGGAATTAGCTGCCATCCAAGCTCGCTGAGGTTGACGAGGGCTCGCACGGTCGCCATCAATACTAACGGCACCTACACCATTGCGCACACTAGCCTCCAGCTAAAATGAAGGATGTCAGTTTTGCATGTAAGGCGTGTTTGGATTTATATGAAATTCAAACTAACTAAATTTGATAAAAAAACTTATATGGCATAAATATAAAAGGACTAAAACAAAAGCATAATAGCACAAGGGTTAAAAAATTCGAAATAGCATGAGCGATCCAACCAAGTGACACATGTGAGTAGGGCTTAGAACTTTATA